AATCTAGGGTGCATTCATAGCCCACATGTGTATACGTGAGTCAGTGGAGTCTTCCAGTTACTTGGCCCACTTTTAGCTCGGTCCACGGGCCAAGTCGCAGGTTTGAATTTTTAAATATACTCAACATCAAATAAACCGCACCTTCCGCGACGCGAACTTTAACGATTTTCTTCTGACACAATCATGGTACCCCAACAATATTGGTGTTATTTGAAAGCCCAATAAATATCCTTAAAGAAAAACACATTTATTTCTTAATAAATGATTAACATATACCATAAATGTGACTTGAAAAAATACCTCACTTTGGGCCCACCTATGGGATCAATTAGACCAATTTTTATGGTTATAAAACCAAATGATGATTTCACGTGTCCTCTTTAACAGATGGATAGCAATTAAACCCAACTTAACAGTTTTATAGCCATAAAAGTTGGCTCTAGCGTAACTACCTATTTTTTGAAGAAGTGACTCTGGATCCTTCTAAAGACACATTTTTGGGGTAAAAACCTTTCCTTTAATGAAATGAAGGTTAGAACTAGGCTTTTAAATGGTACCAATATTGGTGGGAAGTGGGGATGCATACGTTTGAAAATGCTTGTCGCGGGAGGTGCGATTTATTTGACGTCGAGTGTAGTTTTCCTTCCAGTGACTGGGTCCACATCTAAGATTCTAGAGTAGATTTTTGTTGATTTGGTGTTTAATTTATTAATAAAACATTGAAGGTGGGCCCAGTCATTGTCACCGGGCGACTTGGCCCGTGGACAAGCTAAAAGTGGGCCAGTCACTGAAAGACTCCGCCAGTGTGAATATGTAAGAGGTAACCTTTTTCCCCAAAAATAAACTAATACTTTCCCAAAAATAAAGACATTTTTTCCTATTCTTATTTCGCTTACCCCCGAACAACCTACAAACTACGTACACACTATGTTTTTTGTTTACAGTGCATGCAACGGTTACGGTTACAGCTCGCTAATGAGTAGACGGGTTAACACTGTTGCTGAAAAACATTGCTTTGTCCAATTTGCAATTTTTTTTTACAATGCTGTTTTTAGCATATTATGTTTCGTCTCGTTTCAATTGATAGAAGGATGACAATCAAATCTTGTATAAGACGAATTTGGCCCAGTTTGAGATACATCACCTGGTTTAAGATACATCGATATTTACACTTCACCTCTCCGCTAGTGTGTTTCATTTATTACCTATTCAAATACATGTCTGCTCTCCGCTTTGGTGGAATCCAGGTCTAAATTACCGAAGGCGTTCGCGCCTGGACAGCAATTTCCAAACTAATCATAATGCAAAATGTATTCAACTATACAGGGTGTCCCGTAAATTGGGGACAACCTTCCGTCACATATTCTTTACATCGTGGTGACCAACTTTTGTTCTATGGCTTTTAAAATTATTCATTTTTTTATTTTATTATTTTATGAATTCAATCGGTTGTTTGATAACTTTGAGAGTTATGCATACTCGTATTTCCAAAAGTTCGTTTTTCAACATCGTATGAAATACGTCACATGGACGCCGAAGGTAGATATCGAACTATTCTAATTATGTAAATAAAAAAAGACTAAAATTGGTTTATATCTCATTCATAAAACTTTTCTATGGACTTAATTTAGGCTTTTTCGATGCGTCTTAGGCCCAGCTACCTCCGGTGTCAGTGTGACGTGCTAATATCGGGACAACCTGTATAAAAATAAAGTAGAATTCAAAACAAAACAAAAAATAGAAGATACCTAGGTGATTTGATATATTGCCACAGGTCAGGGGTGAAGGTGAGGCCGTTACTAAGTAGCTAAAGACACTGCAAATACGCCTTTGTCTATTCTGATTAAGGCCTGGTTTCCACCCACGTGGAGGAGCAGAGAAGTTTTTTGAATAACCAATCAGATTCCATTATTTGCACATCTCCACTCCGCTCTGCTTCAGGGAGCGTAGTGTGACTTTACGTCAAACGCATTCGATGTCGACTGCGTAAAAAGTGACAATAAATCTATGACGGTTGAACAGCGCCCTAGCGGAAACTTTCAGGAACTAAAATATTCATATATTTTTTTTATTGCGCTCGCTAGTGACGACGTTCGATGTAAACTCACACTAAGCCTGAGAGATGAGCTCACACATCTCTCGTCACCGCACTGCTCCGCTCTTCTCCGCACTGCTCCGCTCTTCTCCGCACTGCTCCGCTCTTCTCCGCACTGCTCCGCTCTTCTCCGCACTGCTCCGCTTTTCTCCGCCCCGCTTTGGTGGAAAGGAAATCGGGCCTTACGGGTCGACTTTATAATAGCGTCTTGGTCTGTCATTATGTCCGCGTAGCTAAGTGCTTTGATGCATTTTAAATCAAAGGAGGTTTGAATGCGTTATTTCGTATCCGATCGACGCGTGAATATCTCATGATGTTATTGCAGACGAAGAAAATTTGCACCATAAAATATGATAATGTACTCATATTCAGGAATTTTGTAATGCCACTTGGAGAGAAAGTACTCTAAATACTTTAGATATAAAATTTTACTTAAAGGAAACATTCCTTCATTCTTGAAAAGAAAGAAAACTACATTCAAAGAGTTTCGAAAATTGGCTTCCCACACCCGAGAATCGAACCAACTAAAATCTAAAATTATTAAGACTATTTTCCCTCCAGCTGGCATTAAAAATTCCACCTGTAAAATATTACATTTGGTTCGCTGTTTGTCTGTCTGTCTATTCTAGGCAGCCTTACCTGATTAACATAGATTCAAATCTATTCATGTCAACTTTCTGTACTAAGATGAAGTTAGTGAATAAATTAAGGCGTGTAAATTGGATTTAAAACTCTTCACTTGTTTTATATTTAATTGAGATAAGGAATAGCTAGAAAATTAGTCTGATTAAATTAGACTTGTGCTATGTTCTTAAATGTTTATTTAATCTTGTTTTAAAAGTATAATAATTATAATGAGAAATATATTTCATATTTTTCCCGGGAGGCTTGCATTCAGATCGGTCGAGCTCCATTCCGGGCAGTTATTGCATGATTTTAGCGAGAACCGTATTGAAATATTAATAAATACTACACCCCCCCTCCCACCCCCCATCTCCCCCAGTAACTCAATAGTCTGGTGTCATGGTGACGACCGATGAACACCCCATCTGGCAATCGATAGTTGAATCCGTATTCGCGAATACGTCCAATTAGAGCTATGGCAGACAGGCTACTTAGAATCCCACCGCCGCTCGACTATTGTGGTGAGCCGAGTCGTAACACAAGCTTATTTAGCTTACCACGAGGGCTAATAGTGCAATACAAATTGATAATAATGTAAAAAAAAAAAACGCGGTGAGTCGGAATCGGAAGCTCGACGCAGAAATATCAGTAGCTAAAACGCACAATTTCAATATCGCATCCCAACGTATGAAGTCGCGCAATCGCGATGCTACATCGATGAAGTCGCAAAGTCGCCGATCACCGATGCTAAAAAGTAGCAAGTCTGCCGTGACCCTTTACCCTTGCAGGCTGGTTAGCCCAGTGCATCTAGATATAAGTGTATATCTACCTAACTAAGGGTATATCTACTTACCACAGGGGTGATAATATTTGCTTTGCGATTTTCGGCTCTATTCGCGCTGTTTCTATATTCGTTGCCCTTGATCTTGGACGGGGACAGACTACCCCTGGCATTTGAATGCTTGCAAACTTTATTTAGATTCGGCTAACCCGGTCAGATGTTTACATAATTAAATAGAGGTTAGTATTGACAATTTAAAGAAAATTCTGAAAGTTTTATAATATTTTGTACTAGCTGTGCTAGCTTGTAATTTTGAATTTCTTTCATTTGACAGTTAGGTGTGAAGTTACTTGAAGAGTCTCCTTTTCAGTCAGGATTTTAACATTCATGATTTTAGTGTCAAATATTTTCTTGTGTCAGTTCCCGAATTATCAAGTTAACTTTCTGTAAAATGAAAGAAGCATGTAAGTAACGCAGTTAGGGACCTACTAACCTTTCAGCCAAATGAGGTCCTCTGTTGGACAAAGGCATCCCCCAAGGTTTTCCACAATGAACGGTCCTGCGCTGCAATGGCAGATGGATGACGATCCAGGCTCTTCCCGCGACCTTTACCAGATCGTCGGTCCACCTAGTAGGAGGCCTTCCCACGCTACTTCCAGCCCGTGGTCGCCACTCGGGAACCTTTCTGCCCCAACGGCCATCTTCTCTACGAGCTATGTGCCTCTGTATCTAACTTACCTAAAAGTATATTTACTAAATTGCTATGCGAGAATGCGAATAATATGTATACTTCTCCTAAGCGAAATCACTTTTGTGAAGCAAAGTTAAATGCTACGCGTACTTTTCTTGGCGAATTTAATTGTAAAAAGTTTATCAAAATAAAGCTTTAAGTATGGAAAAATAATAGAAAACGTTAAAATACTAAGATCTTGTGGCGTTTATTAAATAGTAGGTGTTCTTAGCAAAATATTGATATTAATTGTTCCTGGTCGCTACATTTTGGCACCTATTTATTGTTGTATTTCTTGCTATAGCGAGGTTTTCCGTTATTGACTTTTTTATATTTATTGTATTATGTTTAAACATTATTATTTTATTGTGTGTATAATTTTTAGCTTGATGTCTTAAACAATAACTAAACAATGCTGTGCCTTCCGAAGTACATTAAATCTTTTCTGACTCAACAAGACCATCACGACAATCAGTTTTTAATTTTCAATTGTTTTGTCCCGTTCTGGATCCAATCCAAACCCGGACTATCTTGATAGTCAAAGTTTAACAAGGAACTCAGCGGTATCATTACTCAACGTTCGAATAATCTTTAGTATTACGCAAGCAATGTAAAACTGTTTACGAATATGACGTCGCTACTGTCATCATTGCTGTCACGAGCAATGTGTTCTGTTTTTGGGCATGCGACACTGGCCCCGCCGCCTTGTCACATCTCCCTTTAGTTTTTGCCAAGTGGCCAAGTTGCATACACCCTTCTTTTGTCCACAGTCCTGGTCGCTGGTCGGCATAGTGCTGCTGATTGCGGCTGGCCTGGTCATGTTCACGTACAAGGCCACCCAGTTCAACCTCCTCGGCTTCAACTTCCTCCTCCTGGCGTCGTTCATGGCGGGCATGCGTTGGACGCTCGCGCAGCTTCTCATGCAGAAGTCCAAGCTGGGGCTACACAACCCGGTGGACATGGTGTTCCACGTGCAGCCGTGGATGTTTGTCTCGTTGCTGCCCTTCATGATCATGTTCGAAGGTGAGTCCGCATTCGGTTACTATTGGGGACTGTTTAGATTGGGAGAGCTGGGAGCCTGGGAATCTGATTTTTATGTATAATATTTGGGCAATAATTAGAAGTTGTTTCCACATCAGCCAGACAGTTTTGACAGTTCCAACTCCTTGCCTCCTTGCCTTTGACAGTTTTTTAGGGCAGCTCCCTTCAACTAATTCAACTTCATAATTCACCACATTATATCCTATATTGGGAGCTGACAAACTTTCAGCTTTTATTAAATGACGTAGGTCTGGCGTTCACTAGCTCTTAGTCTAGAGTGTTTGTTTACCTGGCTACGTCAAATTAATTATGCATACATTTTCTTGTCGAAATGACGTATTCGATGAAATGCGTGCTTAAATATTCTGAATAAACATGTTCATTAATTATAGTCCCATTTTGCGCTTCAGTGCCCATTTCATTCAAGAGCTTTTGATGATTGCGATTGCAAATCTAGTTAGGGTATGGGGAAGAGTAAGGGATGAAACATGTACTAGGCAGGGGAAAATATTTAGGGTGCTTATGTACTGGACATCGATCTGGGGAGAGAACAAAGCGAACCCTTCACTGTTATTAGTATACATACTTTTGTCCTCCTTTTTAAGTTCAAACGCTGGTTGATACTTTTCATAGTATTTATTGAATAACTTGTACAACAATATTACTCATCAGTATTACACAATTACATTTCGGCAGAATAGTCCGTTCGACACGATAGTTCACCAACGACTGCCCGCCATTGGCCACAAAATGCTAACGTGGTTTTCGCTACAGTGTGATCGGAAGCGGAAACCCCGGCGCATTTTGATATAAATTATTTCTTATTATAACAATGTTCTAAAAATATTGTAATAAATCATTATTTTAAATAAAATTGATATTAACATTTTACTGTTTTGATTTTAATTTATACAAGACTACAAATCACAACATGAGATCACAAACCGGAAGTGCAGTGTAAAATTATCATAATGAGACAATTAAATGGACACTGAAAGTTATTGCTTAGAAAACATTAATAATATTATTAGACAGTCTAACTCAAGTATATTATAATTATGTATAACCTAACAGCTATGTATGTATGTATGTATGTATGTATGTTCATGTGTTCCCTCGTAACTTCTAAACTGCTTATCAGAATTCGACAAATGACATATCATTAGAAGCGTCTTAATTGTCCGCTGGTTATAGGCTATATGGGGTTTCACAAAATCGAATGTGGCGCCCTCTAGCGGACAAAACACACAGAGTAAAAAAATAAAGTTAAGATAAATATGCCGTGTTTGGTATCATTTGAAAGCGCTTTACTTGTACATTTCGAATATATATATTACTAGCATTTGCTTGTGACTTTACCTGTATTCATGGGCTGATTGCATATAATTCAGATCTTTTCGTTCATAGCTTCTTTACTACTTATTAGTTCATCAATTTAACTTTTGTTAATACATATTATGCGCCACAAATACACTTTAACACCAAAATAGTACAAATAATAAAAAGTAAAAAAACTAAAACCCAACTACGACAAAAAACGACGCTGAAAAAGTATAAAACAAGATTTTCAGAATACTGAACTGAACGAAGTTGCCAATGTAGTTGCATAGTAATTTTCATGTTTGGAAAGGCGTAGTCACACGTTACTTAAACCTACCTACCGTAGCACTTTGACAACGTGTGACTGCGGTTTTCCAAACATGAAAATTACTATGCAACTACATTGGCAACTTCGTTCAGTTCAGTATTATGAAAATCTTGTTTTATACTTTTTCAGCGTCGTTTTTTGTCGTAGTTGGGTTTTAGTTAGCATTATACGACCGTGGTTTATAATAATAAATTCTATAAAATCACAATGATATCAGTATTTACCTCTTTGATTTCCTGACGGTTTACGGTTTAAGAACTTTATTTCTCATCGTTTCCTCCAAATGACGTCCACTGCTGGACAAAGGCCTCCCCCAAGGTTTTCCACAATGAACGGTCCTGCGCTGCCCGCATCCAGGCTCTTCCCGCGACCTTTACCAGATCGTCGGTCCACCTAGTAGGAGGCCTGCCCACGCTACCACAAAATGCTAACGTGGTTTTCGCTACAGTGTGATCGGAAGCGGAAACCCCGGCGCATTGTGATATAAATTATTTCTTATTATAACAATGTTCTAAAAATATTGTAATAAATCATTATTTTAAATAAAATTGATATTAACATTTTACTGTTTTGATTTTAATTTATACAAGACTACAAATCACAACATGAGATCACAAACCGGAAGTGCAGTGTAAAATTATCATAATGAGACAATTAAATGGACACTGAAAGTTATTGCTTAGAAAACATTAATAATATTATTAGACAGTCTAACTCAAGTATATTATAATTATGTATAACCTAACAATACATGTACGCTACACGTTTTTGTGTGTGCCTTGTATTTGCTGTCTTTGTAGGTACCGATAACGGTTTTTAGTGAGACGCTTTCGTTTGTTAATCCCATGGATGACCGTTAAAAATCCTGAATAGGACGATGCTAAATGCTATTGAATGTGTCAGAAAGAACGCAGTAGATGAATCTATATCTTTAAAAGCGAAAGGTACTCAACACGAAATCTCAGAAACTAAGTGCTAGGAGTCTCAAAATTAGCATTTTCCTTTTACAACGTAGGTGCTTACTAAGATGGGATTTTCCAAAATTCAACCCCTAAGGGGGAAAACGGGGTCCACGCGTACGAAGTTGCGGGCGGTCGCTAGTTATCTATTCTATATGACACTCACTTTGTGTTCTTTATAAGTTAACCAGCTTTTATTTTGTTTGGAAGAACCAGATTCTTTTTTCTTTGGAAGCAGAAGTAGAAATAGAAGTTTGTAAGATCACATCTAAACCAGAGATGTTAAACGTTCTATTTATTTAAATTCCAGGGCTGGAATGCTTCAAGCACCTGCATGAGCAGTTCCTGAACTCCCCGGATGAGCTACTGCCGACTGTGCTCAAGGTGTCTGGCGGCGCCACCATCGCTTTCGCCATGGAGATCAGCGAGTTCGTGGTGGTCACCTATACTTCTAGTCTCACGCTGTCGATTGCTGGCATATTTAAGGTACACTTTGTTGTCTTGTTCTACATTTCACCAATTGATAAAATTGATATTAATTTATTATCCGTGGTGCATAATCTTTTCTTAAACGTTTTCAACATTTGTTTGTCACCTGTCATCCGTTTTGCAATGGAGGGAAGTCGAACCTTAATTTAGAACTCCTATTTTCTTCTGATTAATTTAGTTGCGGGTCCAATGATAGTTAAACTTTCCCCCGGGACAAACTTGACCTTCATCGGTTGGGTTTTTATGGCGGTCAAGCTGTAGATCCTGGCTACACAGGAGTTGCAGTGGTGGGAACGAGAGGTGGAAATTGTCCCGTTTGCTGTCTTGTTCTTCTTTTACTGTCTGGTATGTTACGTGTCATAGTAGAGGCGACATATCCATGTATTGGCTTGTCATGTAGGGGAAAGATAGAGATATAGAGAGATGCCAATGCTCTGAGTTCGAAACTCAGTGTCGCATTAAGGTGACCTTTAGAAATAAGCACCTTTAGAAATTGACACACACAAAGTAATCAAAATATGTTCTCATTATCCACTGCGGTATCAGTACTCAACGTTCAAATAATCTTTAATACTACGCAAGCAATGTAAACTGTTTACATTATGACGTATGCAGCAATGTGTTCTGTTTTTGGGCATATTGCTGCGACACCGGCCCCGCCCCTTTGTCACATCTCCCTTTAGTTTCTGTGATCTATGGTGGCAACACTGACTGTAACTGTTTTTGCAAACAGGAGATGTTCATCCTGATTCTCGCTGTAGAGGTGAGCGGAGACCAGCTCAGCACTATCAACGTAGCCGGCCTGGCGCTGTGTCTCTTGGGCATCATCTGCCACATAGTCCACAAGGTTGGTTTTGCAACAACAAATTCAAGTTTTTCACTATTTTGAACCTTAATCCAAGGCAACAGGGTTCATAAGAAAGTAGCTCTGACCAGCTCTCTAGTTCAGCACCATTAACGTGGCCGGCCTGGCTCTGCGTCTCCTGGGCATCATCTGCCACATAGTCCACAAGGTTGGTTTTGCAACAACAAAAACATCTTAACCATTAAGGTAGCCTTTCGAACTAAGCGTCACAGACGCAGCGTCTTTAGCTTTGGTCTTAAAGGTAGCCTTATGAAGCGAGTTAGTGACGAGGCGTTGGTGGCACAAGACCAAAACTGAAGGCGCTGCGTCTGTGACGCTTAGTTCGAAAGGCTACCTTAAATCAGGCAGTAATAGGGCAATCGGGTCCAGTAAAGGAAAGTCGATCCTTACGTTCGAACGCCTCTTATGTTCTTCTGATTAATTTCCTGGATCTACAGCTAGCTGATAAAAACTCATTAAAAGAAGGCTTAATTAAATTGTCTAACGGGAAAGTTAGACTGGCCTCAATAATCCATAAGAAAAGAGGAGTAAGAAAATAAGGATCGACTTCCAATGAAATCTGTTACTTTTCAAACTTGGTTTGAGCCACAATGAAAGTCGTTTTACTCGGTTTTTTAAAGTAAGAGGCACGCTTTAAAATCTTTCTTTGACTGACTGAAAACTCAGGTGAAGCCACAGGCAATGGCTAGTTAAAGATACAATAGACGTGTTGACACCACCAATCAATTGACGTACTTTTTAAAACTGTCAAAACGGAACTCTCCTATAGATTTTGTATGGCACTACAAGCATGTGACGTCACTATTTTGTCAACTCAATAAACTACATTTTTTAATGAGGGTTTTCGCGATTGAAAAATCCGCCAGATGACAATACGTAGACGCGAGGTCCAAATGCTGCATGATTGGTTATTTTTGACATGACATTGACAGATTTGTCAAAATCCACCAATCACGCAGCATTTGGACCTCGCGTCTACGTATTGCCATCTGGCGGATTTTTCAATCGTGAAAACCCTCATTACAATGCGACCAAAAATCGTAATTTGCAGATAATTTAAAATTAATTAAGTTTTTAAGACCAGAATGAAGTGTCTTTTTAGAAAAGTTGTGATTTAGAATTATTGGGGAATGGTGTCAAATTGTCTATTTCCATTGCAGGTACTAGTCATCAAATCGGTCGCCGGCTCCGTCCGCGCTCTTGACACGGACGACTTCGAAACCATCAAGCGGACCAGGTCGCCCGGACCGAAGCAAGGAGAGCTCGACGAGCCGCTGTTGGAGGATCAGAAGTGGCAGCCCAGCGACGAAAGTGACGTCGACACCAACGTGGTTCTCTTCCAAGTTCTGCAGAGGAGGGACGGGCGCTAGGCACAAACGAGGGCTATGGAGATGCGAACTGACTTTTGGGGCAAATACTGTATCAAATCTCTGTTCATGGGTGTTTTATGCAGTGTAATGTAACGCAAATACACTCGACAGCAAATAAATCGCACCTCGCGCGACAAGCACTTTCAAACGTATGCATCCCCACTTCCAACCAATATTGGCACCATTTAGAAGCTTAGTTCTAAATTTGATTTCATTAAAGGAAAGGTTTTTACCCCAAAAATGTGTCTGTAGAAGGATCCAGAGTCACTTCTTCAAAAAATAGGTAGTTACGCTTGAGCCAACTTTTATGGCTATAAAACTGTTAAGTTGGGATTAATCGCTATCGATCTGTTAAAGAGGACACGTGAGATCATTATTTGGTTTTATAACCATAAAAATTGGTCTAATTGATCCCAGAGGTGAGCCCCAAGTGAGGTCTTTTTTCAAGACCCATTTATGGTATATGTTAATCGTTTATTAAGAAATGAAATGTGTTTTCCTAAATATTGCATAGGTCGCGCAGCGCGAGTTGAGACGATCCACACAAGCAAAGATTTGTATACGCCCGCCGCGTCCACGTCTTGCGTAGTCTGACTGACAAGTGCTTTCTATCTCCTTTGTACTTGTTTAGCAAGAGCGAGGTAGCTTGTGTATTCGACATTTGAACTTGAAGTGTAATGTGTTGTGTGTGTAGTATAGTTCCAAAATACTGGACTGTCCTGTCGATGACATTGACAGTGGGGCGCCACCGTCAATACCGGATCGCTGGTTCAGATTTTTGCCATGTTGGAAACCATATAGTTGAACGATGGTAGCGCCCCCCTGTCATTGAGTTTGGCGGGACAGTTCAGCGTAGGTCATCTATACCGTGTTCGCCTCGACTTTCGCTGTGCGACATAACCAGTGCGGAACGTTTCGAACAGATAATAAATATCGTTTTGCATTACATTACACATGTGTTACACAAAACTTCACAATTTGATGCAGTGTTTGGCCCTGACCTATGGAACTGGCTATCAAAACGGTATTAATTTAGCATCAAAATCTTAGGCATTCACTTTTTGATTGGAGAAATTAATGCTTGAAATAGAAAGTTTTCTATTTTGTACGACTGATTTTGATTGATAAGACAACATCCGGTGTATTGGGCCTGAGTATTTTGAGAATACAACATAATTACTGTCATAAATGTTTGTTAGTCAATAAGTACATGTCGCTATATTACGCATTGCTGCACAACGAAAATCAATAGGATTTGTGTGTAGTGTACTTGCCAATAGTATTACTGGTATTTTTTCCCTTGTCCCCACGTCGATGTTAAAATGGTACATAGGTGTAGCTTATAGATATTTTTCTGTATACTTTATGCTGTAATTGATAGTAATTTATTGATGTAAACGCATTTTTAGTCATATTAAACTGGATGGTAATGAAAATGATGGTATTGAACATACAATGGTACATTTACTGAGTGTTAATTTTAGATTCGGCTGTAGGAAAGTGACGTCATAAATGAGACGGTGCATATTTTTATATTTCCTTTTTCAAAATCTCCATAGCCCGCGAAACAAAAGCAAGTCAATGCAAATTCGTATTGCTCTATACGATTGTCTATGCTCATGAAAGTAAATATTTAAAAATAACAGATATATTGTTATGTTCTCTTGGGACATTAAACAACTCTTAGTTTCTTTTAGTTTTAAGTGAGATTTTAAAAAGCGTTGTATTTTTTCCATCTAACATTCCATAAGAATTTCGTTCCTAATAAATGTGCGTTATTAATTTTCCATTTTCCTTTATTTCATTGAAAATATTTGAATTATTACTGACATTCCTTGTCGATTCGATTTCTGTTTTGTTGAATTGATTTATGTGACTACAAAAACAAAGTTTCTGTAAGTGTTTGTTGTTCTAAAGAATAGTTTGGTTTGTTTTTGTTGTATTATGATAATTTTATGTAAATATTCCTTTTGTTCTTTTAATTTTATTAAGTTATTGTTAAGATTACGTACAGTCTATGTTGTAACGCTCTAAAATTCAGATTTATAATTATGAAAGATAATATTTTTTAATTATAAACTAACCCTCAGAATATAGAATATTCGTAAGCAGATGGACTGTCTGTATTGGTTGGTGTTTTTGAATTTTGTAACAGCATTTGCGGTCTGTATTTTGTAACATCGGAAGCACAAATAAATATTGGACCAACAAGAATTTTGCATTTAGGGGAGGCACGATAGGAAGGGGTTTGATACGTTTTTATGATAAAATAAGAATTTTTAAACAAGTTTTTTTAATAATAGAACACACGATAAGCACACGTTGTGTGATTTTGAACACTTTTGTAGTAGTATACCATACAAACACTACAAGTCGTATGTGACGTTTATTACTACATTATTCATATCCAGTATGTGTGAGGTAACCCGCAGTGTGGCGACACTTCCGAGTGTAGGTACTGTACGATCAGACACAGTTGTCTATGATTTTGTGCAAACATTTATATTTGTCAAATACTGATACATATTAAAATTGCCTTGTGATTATATAAGTATTACATTGTAAAGCTATCGTGCATAGTCACGTGTAAAAGTTTGTAAAAATATTAAAATTAACCAAATTTCTGATCCAAGTGGCAAATTGACGTTCTCCGGTTCAGTACAGCTAGCACGAAAAACTTTTGAGTTCGAATCGTTTGCGTATTCGAATCGCCATCCAAAGATTTAGTACGAAAACTACAACAGCGCCCTTGTGAACGTGTCGTAAAGTGAACTTAGTATGAGAAATGGTTGCACGAAACTTATTTCGAGAATCAAAATTGTCACGTTATCGTTTAATTCGAAGGTTGAGTATCGAATTTTGTCGAATACTCAAACGATTCAAAGACGAAAGTTATTCATGCTAGAGGTAATGTAACTATTAAATAACAGCATTTCGAACATTTAAGTGACACATTAACACATACGTCATTAAGCTACGATTACAAGATATAGGGTATTGTATTAGAACCGGTAGTTATTGTCACCGGCTCAGAAACTTGGACTTAACATTGTCTTCGTAATATTTATAAAGTATTTGTAGAATACATTTACTATCTTTGAAAGTACTTACCAGAAGGCGTGAAATGAAGGTTCTGTTAACACATGGCACCATATTGGCCGATATATTGATTGAGAAGGTGAAATTCCTATCGCCTAGACTTTTGCCTGAGAAATTTCAGGGAGTTCAATGCCAATTTTTTGTAACATTTTAGTATCAACCTTAATCTATACCAATGTTTTCAACGCGTTCGCGATTATTTCTAAAAGTGTTAAGTGTGCTTTCATTCATATTCACATTCAAAATGCAGGAATGGCGAAGGGTATTGTTTGAGGCTATAAGAAATAGGTTAAAATATTTACTTAAATGCCACTGCAGAACCATTTTGGATCGATTACGCTAAATATATCCAGTTTTAAGAAGGCTACAACGATTTTGTCCCGTGCCATAAAAACAGTTGTACACTTTCGTACATTTCTACAAAACACTTGATGGTCAGAAGGGTTGCTTGTCTGTAAGTTAAATTAATCAAAATACATTAGGTATTGTATAAGAATGAACAATAAAACATAAAGGTAATATTCAAGATTTAATGTGTCGCACGTAGATTTAAAAAGAACATTTTTGGCAACGGTGTTGTTGTTTAAGCTGTAAATCCATTGAAAAATACTAGTCGTGTACCGTTGCACTTAAATACATAGTATGCAGAATGTCATATGATAATATAAATATTCTACAGTTGGTTTCAATTCCACTGTTACCTTCTTGACATGTTGCGATAAGTTCAACAAATGATAACCCTAGTATTTTCACGAAATAATTCCGGGAATCGTTCTTTGTAGTTTAATACAAAATACCATTAAAATGTCTGAACATAAACTTGAATGTATCCATTTCAAAATTATTATTTATTAGATTAAGCTGTCAATTTTAATTTATATTTCTCTTGACCGAATTTATATCCCACAGAAATTCTCCGACTGTATTGTGTAGATCTACAGTTTCTATCTAGATTTACATTATTAAACGTAAGAAGTGTTAGTATGTACTAAAGTATTGTATTAAACGTGTTATTTTGGCCTACGTCTTTGACGGACAAAAATCGATGTATTTTCTATAAAAATATGTATTATGTAATATTGTCTTATGTACATAATAAAGAATTTCATCAATGAATGTTGAGTATGTTTTTATTGAGTAAGGTCACCACTATTAAAGGTGAAACGATTGAAAAGGTTTTTAAAGGTTACTAAGTAGGAATGAAACCCAATCTGTGAAGGGAAAGTTATTGTTTTACACCATGACAAATATTCAATAACGACATGCGAATTGTCCACTTTCGTGCAAGTCTCGTCTCTCAAAACCATATTACCGAAGATGAAAAAGAAAGAGAGGCTGATATAGCCCCAATTTCATGTGCATGTGGATTGAGTGATCCTTGCTTCAATCTTAACAAAAATCGAGGAAGTTTTACTTAAAATATGTTAAAACATTGCGATGAAGTTTAAAAATTTGTTAAACCTAAGATAAAAATGTTATGGCCAATAAATAGGAGCACTCATACCGCACGCTTTAAGAAAACGTCAACATGTTTATTTCAGAAAATAAAGCCTTTCCACTTCTTTTTATAGTATTGAAAAATTGTTAAGAATATGTTAAAACTATTAACAAATTCAGAAATTCCTTGCACGTCCCGTTCCAAAGTTATGACGATTATTTAGGATCACTCACACCGCACACGGGCCGTATGAGTGCTCTTCAAAATAATGACTTTTTATTAATAAATACGTTTTATTTCTGTTGGGAAATGTGTGCAAACTGACGAGCGAATTTGTTAAAGAATAAGTGTGACAAAACTTAAAAGCTGAAGGAAGAAATTAACCTTTATTCTTTCCTCCAATATGCCGTGTGAGTGATCCTTACTTTTACCTCTGTACCCTAATCAACATTTTCCTTTAGGAATCATCTAAGCCTGATATTTCTTAAATTATGACCTTAATAAAAGCAAAATATATGCCAAATAATTGTTAAAAACAATTAACAATTTTAGATACTATCTCAGTCTGCCTACGAACTACATATGAGCAGATAGAGGTAAAAGTAAGGATCACTCACACGGCATATTGGAGGAAAGAATAAAGGTTAATTTCTTCCTTCAGCTTTTAAGTTTTGTCACACTTATTCTTTAACAAATTCGCTCGTCAGTTTGCACACATTTCCCAACAGAAATAAAACGTATTTATTAATAAAAAGTCATTATTTTGAAGAGCACTCATACGGCCCGTGTGCGGTGTGAGTGATCCTAAATAATCGTCATAACTTTGGAACGGGACGTGCAAGGAATTTCTGAATTTGTTAATAGTTTTAACATATTCTTAACAATTTTTCAATACTATAAAAAGAAGTGGAAAGGCTTTATTTTCTGAAATAAACATGTTGACGTTTTCTTAAAGCGTGCGGTATGAGTGCTCCTATTTATTGGCCATAACATTTTTATCTTAGGTTTAACAAATTTTTAAACTTCATCGCAATGTTTTAACATATTTTAAGTAAAACTTCCTCGATTTTTGTTAAGATTGAAGCAAGGATCACTCAATCCACATGCACATCCAATTTCCACTAAGGCGGAGCGGAGAAATGACGGGCCTTCAAATTTTTCTATAGAATTTGCGGAGCGGCGAGTAGAAGTGGAAATTAATTAAATCTGATTCCGGATTCTGAAACCCGGCCAAAGACAAACTGCTTTATAATATTGGCAATAGTGCAGATGTAGGATGTATGGAAAACGAGGCAGGATTGCGCCGCGCGGGTCGTCAAGTCCCGCTTTTCATTTCGTTTCCAACACCTAGATGGCAGCAGTAGTATGGAAAACCTGCTGAAACATTAAAATTGAAAAGTGTATTCTAATGAATTGATTAGAAATTATCCTGATTTCGCCTCCGAGATTTATTTTACCATGTAGTACCCCTGTACGACAAGCCAATCCGCACACAATATTCAGCGCAGTAGTAGTAAAAAACAAAAGATTGAATGATCAAACGAACTTACCAAGTGAAGTTCGATCTAAATTATCCTGTTTTCGCCGAAGAGATTTAAGGTCCCTCCCAACCCGAAGATTTCTATATCTTCTTCCCTGGAGGTAAACGTCAATGTCATCTCTTCTCTAAATATAATGAGACCGCTCGGACACCGAGCCCACAGCGTGGTAGGGGTGGGGTTGCCCGCTCTTTTGTTTTTTACTACTACTGCGCTGAATATTGTGTGCGGATTGGCTTGTCGTACAGGGGTACTACATGGTAAAATAAATCTCTTCGGCGAAAACAGGATAATTTAGATCGAACTTCACTTGGTAAGTTCGTTTGATCATTTAATTATTAAACAATAGCAGAGCAAGGCTTTTATATAATATGACCATTGCAGCATTGGTGTCCAAAAATATAGTTAAGTTTATTATAATCATGTAAAATGTGTGGAAAACGAGACAGGAAGTGCTTTTAAATTGCGCGCCTTTTAAAGTCCTGCTTTTTATTTCATTTCCAAAACCTAGATGGCAGTAGTAGTCTGGAAAACTCGCTGAAACACTAAAATTGAAGTGTTATTTTAAATGAATTTAAAGAAATTAAAGAGCAGAGATTTTTTTATTTTATTTTGGACAATTGGAGTTCAAAAAATAGTTTAGTTTATTATTTTCTATGTTTCAATCACTAGACTTGGCTTGGACAGTCTTGAAAACCAATTAACATTAATGGATTTCTTTGTTTTAGAAAACTTTTAAAATCATAATTCTGACAGTTTACTACAGAAATTAACTACTATTGAAGTGACTGAAGGGTATTTTAGACTTTTTACTTTAGGGTAAAAAAAATGCCAAGTGCGTGTCGTGGCACGCACAGTGTAGGGTTCCGTAGTTGACCGTCGTTACCACAATTATAATTCAGAAGCAAGCACAAGACTCATCTAAAGACTTCCGATTCGATTCTAAGGATTTTTTATTAGGCATGAAATATAAACGACTATTACTCTCAAATTAACTGATCTATCTTAACCGTTATAGTTTTCCTTGAAAGTTCATAAAAAGCACTAGGTACTATCTTGATTTTTTCCAGATTTTTAAAGCCAACAGTTTATTTTTTAGAGGGGGGGGGGGGATGCAATTCAGAACTAGGCTTTTAAATGGTTGACTTTCATACGTTTGAAAGTGCTTATCGCGGGAGGTGCGATTTATTTGACGCCGAGTGTTTAATGACTGAGAATTTTTGTCACTTGGATGCTAGAATAGCAGAAATAGTATTGTAAGGTGCGAAATGTAAAAAATGATACCAATTAAAGTTAATCATCTACAACACCAAAGTTTCATGTGCGTTNTTAAGTATCTGTGTGGTATGTAAATATTTCCTTTCTTGAAATAAAACTGACTCATTTATGTGTGAACAAAATATTCGTATTAGGGTAACCACACATCAGAAAATTAATGGATAGCTAGAAAAAGTGTCCCTACACAACCAATACCACGATTAAAAAAATTCAAGATAAAGTTGTACTGTTAAACATTTCTATAGATAGAGCATGTAGTGTATAGACATTTATAGTTGTGAATAAGTATGCTATGACCTTAACTCTGTCGTCTCGAGAAGCACGCGCGCGGGGTCGCGGGGCGGGAGGGAGCTGTCAGGCAGACCTACCGACCGCCGTAAGGGAAGACGCGTTGTTGCTTGCTGCGAGCCGATATCCGTGTTATCAGTGTTGCTTGGTGTTATTGGTTCGACTTACCAATTCAACATAACATACAATAGTGTACACTACAGAGCATAATAAAACAAAGTAGGTACACTGATAACAAAATTACCATGTATACAGTGCGATTTTCACTCAATCGTCCAATTCAACTCGGCTGGGCAGCGTCCGCCGGAAAGCTTCGCGATATTGTCACGTCCGAAATACCGCAATGTCTTAAGAACTGTGCCACAGCGTACTGAAGGAGATATCCGAAAGTGGGGATTGTCCACTGATCGGCCACATGCTCAGCAGGACGAGGTCGGTTGTAGAAATAAGATACTAACATTAGCCTAAGTTTTTACTAACATTTATGGATCTCTGTTATCTGAAATAAATACTTTTTATATTATTTTATTTATTTAAGACTGACCAGTGTGTGTTGCCAGTGATGGTATACGGATCTGAGACGTGGTTGTTTACTATGGGCCTCGTGAAGGCTCAAGGTCACCCAAAGGGCCATGGAGCGAGCTATGCTCGGAGTTTCCCTACGTGATCGAATCAGAAATGAGGAGATTCGTAGGAGAATCAAAGTGACTGACATAGTCCGCAGAATCGCTAAAATCAAGTGGCAGCTTGGGCGGGGCATACGTAGCTCGTAGAGCTGATGGCCGCTGGGTCAGGAAAGTACTTGAGTGGCGACGAGGAGCCGGAAGACGTAGCGTGGCAGGACATTTTTACGTCGTATTTAATTAAAATAAAATCAATAGACTCGGATTTATCTCAAAATACCTCTTAGGCAATCGTACAGAATACCTACTAATACTTTTGTTTTGAGTTTCCTAAAAAAATCGACAATGTGGTTAACATACACAAAATCATTACGGAGAATTTAAAAAGCAAGATATTTCTTTAAATACTTTATATAGCAATAATATTTGAATACAATTTTAAACTGCAAATTTTGTACATAAAATGCTGTAATCTATTTTTATCAAACAATGAGTTGGGTGAGATAATTATCATGGAATTGGTTTTTAGCGTGTGTTCCGAGGGCTCACTTTACTAGGGCTTTTATTCTGTACTAGTAGAATATATAAACCCTGTACTCTCAGGGTAGCATTGTGGCTACTTCTGCTAAAATTAAAACCTTACCAAAGAAACTTAGTCTCAAGTTCCAATTTGTAGCATTAAAGTAAATTTTGTGCACTGGAGAACTGAGGGCCCATCGTCTGATTCGATTTTCTTTATTTGCAGTAACTATGCAGAGCTCTTATTTTCGTATGTAGCCCTACGATTTACCTCCTAAATATTACCATTCATCAAAATCATCTTATTTGGTCAGATTCAGTAATTTGGTATTTGATATATATACATAGTTCATCTGAGGGACCACATTCGGCGAGTTGTAGCGTCCAACTTACAACACCTACAAATTTACAATTCTGGCTACATTTGTTTTAGAGGTTCTGCTAAATCTTTATGTATACGAAACCTTCGTTTTCCACAGTGGCCTCTCGAAGGGAACGCACATAAAGTTTCTATGGCCTTGGCAAGTAATTTGACGAAACCTGTCTTTGATTGCAAATATTTTATACCCACCCCGGTACCCCTTGAGCACTATCATATGGGGATATCTATTGGGATGAATGAAAGTTTCTTTGTTATGTTTGTATGTGTTTATTCAGTCATCGTTACTAGTATATTTTTAACAAGGAAGTAATATTACATTTATTTATTACCACAACTTTAACAAATATTTGTATTTCATCAATTTTAATTCTTGAGCAGGCTGGTTCCCAAACTGAGTTGCGATGGGGTTGCTGCCCCTAGCTGCCCGCTCAGTCTGAATAGCTTCCCATTGATAGACGTCGCAGCCTCCATCTTCCTCAAAAACATGTTCTTGCATGTGGTGTTCAAAGTTTTCTCGGTCAACGTCTTATTCGACTCCGAATCCAAAGAGTTGATGATCGAGTCAGCATCAGTGTCTAAATTGAAGATATTCGTCTGCGACTCCTCACGCCAAAGTTTCTGGAGGTTTAACGCCATCAACTCCAGCTGCACTTGAGACAGCTCCCTGATTACGTCGATTTGAACCGACATAACGTTGTCACACGTCTTCAGCAAAGAGTTCAGCGTCTCCAGAACGTCCGCTCTCCTCTTCTGAATGCTGTACTGGTTGTCGATGTTCCTCTCGAAAAATGCCAGGTGCTCATATAACTCGGCCAGCTGCAATGAACAAGAAATGTACTGCGCTGAGTGGTGCTCAAAATCGTAGTAATGCTTGGCCCTCATCAGCCACTTATGGGTAAACGAAAACAGCTTCCTGGCCTCTTCCACGTTGCAGACCATATCCAACGGCACTCTAGTCTCCATATCCTTCAAATTCAATGAAGGAAAAGTAAACAACTTCTCCGCTTGTTGGTTGCCATCGCCTTTCCCTGTCTTCTCCGCGCCCAGGTCCTTTATATTCTCCTCTTCGAATTTCTCAACATTCTCCACGTGCTCTTCAAGAAGGTCAACAGTCTTCCACAAGTCTGCTCTCGAGGTGGGCTGCGAGAAGTAACGGTTCAAAATCTTTTTCTTAGACAGTTTAAACAGGGTCAGTCCATACTTAACCCAGTGGTGGCTTAGTTCCAAGAAGTGCACTTCGAAGTCTGCTTTCTGCAGCACGAATTCCTCGGGCATCAGCTTGCAATTGTCGTGACATGTTCTCAGCACGTGGTAAGCAGCACAGAGGTGGTGACGAGCGTTGCCGAGCTGGTTCAGGTAGGTGAAGTAGTTGCCTAGCCTGGCGGTCCTCAGCGCCCAGTCCTGTGGCGTTCCTTCTTTCATTTCCAATTGCCTCCTCAATGCCGTGTGGTTGTATAGTGTATATTTCTGAGGTATGTTTAACTTGTTGTACAGAAAGGCTTGCATCTGCACGTTGTTAGTGATGACCTTGTCGATTTTCTCCGGGTTGACTCTCTTTATATTACTCAGGGGTTCTGACGTGAATAAGTCCTCAGCATCCAGGAATTTGTCGGGCTGTGACTGGCTTATCTTGTCGTACAATTCTTCCATGCCTTCGAGTATCTCACGAGCGAGGTTGATCTGGTCTAACTGGATGAGGTAATAGCACAGAAGGTTTTGTATTCTCAGCAGAATGAAGAGGCACTCGTCTCTGAGTGCATAGGGTTTTATTTTATCGTATGCTACTTGGAGGATGTTTCGTTTTTCAATTAGAGATATAGGCATAGCCTTGGCGGATAACAGGGAGAGGTAGCCCTCCATGGCGAGGGACCTGATGTACTGGTCATGGTTCTCTTTGCCGAGCACCACCAGCTCCGTTGACAAGGTTTGAATGTCTCTTTTGAGACTCTGCAGACGTTCCGACGAATTCTTGTTTTTGATTGCAGTTCTTACGTTTTCAAATGTGCTAGTAATGCGATTTAATGTTTCCATTATATTTATAACACTTTTAATTTTTTCATATAATTAGTTGACGCCGAACTACCAAATAGAATTTTGTTACAAATTTTGAGTTTTGACATTGAGTGAAAATTATTATTCTTGATTTATGTGACAGTGAAGCTGCCAGTGTTTTGAGGTTTGATATGATTATTTTCTTCTATTACGAATTATCTCAGGAGTTTGCGGGCGCTAGGGCTTCCACCTTGGTTTCAGAGTCAATGATGAATGCCTTACGATATTTACGTACCTAAATGTAAAGGATGTTTTTTAGAGGTATACAACTTTAGAATGAAATATAATACGTAAAAATATTTTATTGACATGGTAATGATTTTATTAAAAATATATTCTTATAATTTATGCTTCGAAATGATTGCCACGGTTGCCCAAATAATGGACGTTTGTGTGGCGAACTGAACCATGCTTTCCAAAATTAGGCCAGTAGAATTAAACACAAAAATGAATTAAATCGGAAATAATTCCCACTAAAGATTTTAGTGCTTTAATGGCTTCATTAGTTGCCCATCAAGACCCTCCTAGGTTTTCGACTTCGAAAGGGGCGCTTTTTCGGTTTTCCGGTTATACCGCGTAAAGGATCGAAAAGTGGTCTTCCTGACGGTTGAAGGGCATTTAATCCTGCATTAAATAAGATCAAATTCATATGTTTTGAACAAACCGTTCTCATGCAAATGTTCGGCAAAGTGAAAATATGTGTATAATTATTATAATGACCCTCTCCACGTCCAATGGCTCGTTACCCGCAGGTTTCCAAGTCTTGAAAAGGAGCACCTCAACCAGTGTAGTTTCATGTAGGAATTATTTCCGATTTAAAATCTAATTCTACTGGCCTAAATACATTTTGTCGTGCCTTTTGTAGGAATTATTTCCGATTTAAAATCTAATTCTACTGGCCTAAATACATTTTTGCACGATTTGCCAGAGTTGTTCAAATCTTGCAACTTAAAATTGACACACTTCCCGGTTTTGTATTGAGCTGAAATTTTGCATGCATGTGTAAATCGGTTGACAATGCAATATTATGATAATATGGATCTGATCTGATGATAGAGCTGGAAGGTAGCCATAGGAACTTCGCAATAAATCGACACAACCCCATCGAGTTTGGGCTCATTTAATTCATATTGACGAGAACCTCAATCTTATATGGTAACCGGGGTCTGATCATGGAGCCGGAAGGTGGCCATAGAAAGAACGCGATATAAAACACAATAAGTTTCAACTTAGAATTTTGTGGTATTGGTACTTCATCGTCGATATATCGTCTAATGTCTTGTCAAGTTTTCACTTTTCACTGTGTTTGACTTTTTCAACTGTCAGAATCTTTAAATTGCCTCGAAGCCATTAGACGGATTAATAATCTCGTCAGAGTAAATATATTCTTTGATAATAATTAAATTGCCTCTGATTGCCTCACTGTTAATGTAGCCGTTGTCGAACCAGAGTAAATACCTATATTCCTTGTGTCGAATTTTTAGGAATAAATGGACACAAATGTTCCAAATTACAGAACAAGATCAATTACCTAATTGATGGAACAAAAAAGATCAGATTGATAATAATAATGATGTGGGAGTCGCATCGTGTCAGCCGCCGTACTGCGAGATAGGCCGCGAAGAGGCCGTTTATATTTATAACCTCCGGCCGAGAGGGCCGAGAGGTCCGAGAGGCTGTCTCGCTCGCACACCCACCGCGGGAGCTCCGTGGACGGCGGCCGCTGCAGTCGTTCTGAAAAGAGGGCGACCAGAAACTGGACATAATAAATAACCTACGCTCGAGATAACCGATATTGCCGTCTCGCTTCCTCTATGGGAGCGCGGGGAAACGCGCTGAAAGTTTTGTTTTCTGGTTTATTTGTGTTAATTTTATTTCCATTTCTTGACGATGAGATTTCTTGCGTGTTTTTATTTTTCATCCTTGCTCTATTGAGTTTATCCTCTTCATTGGATGACGTGACATCAATTGCTTTCTTTCCATTGTTTTTAGTTTTCGACGTATCGTTTTTGTTTTCTGGCTTATTTGTGTTGTTAATTTTATTTCCGTTCCTGGTGACACGGGTTGCATCATCGTCCTCACTTGACTCCGAGTTTCCTTGTGTCGTTTTCTTACTTTTCGTCCGTGCTCTATTATTGTATCGTCTTCATCTGACGATGTGTCAATTGCTAACTTTGCGTCATTCTTAGTTTTCAATCTGTCGTTTCTAATTGTATCTTTTTCAGAAGATGGTTTTTGTTTAGTGTTATCGGTCTCAAATATTTTCTTTAATTTCTGAACTAATTCATGATGATTCAAGATGCCTTTCGTTTCCTTTCTTTATTTTTTTATTAATATCCTCATCATCATCAGAAGAGAACTCGAGCAGCTGCTGTAATGCAATGAGTTTCTTATCCCTACTCAAATTAGTCTCTTTGGAATCGTGGTCATTTAACGTCTTGATTTGGTCTCGGTTTCTTTTTTCTCTCTTTTTCACTTGCTTGTATTTATTTTGGCTTGTCTTATTTTTTCTCATTTCCTTATCCGTTTCGTCCGAGTCTTCAATGACTGTGACATTATTTTCGATTCGTTGCCTCATTCTGTACTGTGTACGTTGAGATTCGGGCTGCGATCGGTCGGCCACGGCCTTGAGCCCGAGCGTGGAAGCGAAGGCTTTGAGCGGCATGTCTTTACTGGTAGTGCGACCGCGGAGCATGCGTTCTAAACGCGCGCACCGCTCGACGCGGCGTGAGCATTTTTGGCACCCATCGCGCGCACCCCTATTTCATGTGCAAATGAGTATGAAAAATATCGCCGTTACGTTCTTTGTTAATGCCTATGGCTTCAGCTATCTGTCACAACTTAATTCGCTGATCTCTAAAGCAAGATTTTTTAAGTTTTCATTATTTTATTCGTTAATGGCGAAATCTGGCCGCCCTGACTTGCGGTCATCTTTTAGAGACTCCCTGCCATGCTTGAACTATCGGATCCAATATTTCATGATGGCAAATGAAGGCCCAGACTCCCCTTGTGTCTCGTTGGAACCAAATCCCATAAACTGTAGACATCTCTTCAAATGTTACCGTCAGCGTTTTGTTCCTCTTTTTGAGGAGTTTTATGACAACAGTGTACTTCGATTTCGTACATTGCGCGGATGACTGAGACTTGATGATGTTTACTGATTAATTACTAAAAGCGTGATGACGCTAATGAAATGAAACTTTGTACATATACTAAGGAGGTTATTGGCAAATTAAATAAATTTAAAGCGAGTCAATAATAGCACTTGAAGATACTAAGGCTCAAAACTTTTCAGCCGCCCCTCGTATTATGTTTATTTATTTAACTATACAAGTATGGTCCTCGTGAAGTTAAAAACTACTTATTAACTAATCTTCTCCAATTAGAATATTAATGTTTCAAAACAAAACTCCTCCGAAACGGTTTGACTGATTCTTATGAAATTTTGTAATCATATAAAAGAATGAAAGCTTTTAATCATATAAGTAAATTGAGTAATGGGTTGGAAAGAATTTATATTTTATTTTATTCTGTTTAGAGCATTAAAAGCTTGTTTTAAAATATTTGTATTCTAATTTTATTTCATATCGCATATTTAGTCGGCCGTTTGGTGTAGTGGTTCGAAACGGACTACTAATCGAGTGCATTACTGCAGCAAAATTTTTATAAATGTTGTGCTTTAGAGAGTCGAGAGTAAAGCAGATAATTAGTCCATCGTGAGCAGAAATTTGTCCACTAATAGCAAAATTCGTTCAAATTATAGTTTTAAAGTTATTAGGAAAAAACAGATTTTGCTGGGGTAATGTTTGAAACGTTACCCCAGCAAATTTTTTTTTGTCCCTAGGTATCCTAATTCCCTAGTTCCCTAACCTACAGCATAAATGTAAGATAAATAAATATATAAATAAGTGAGGGATGTCTGCACCGTGAGACCTAAGGTAACAGACGGAATGTGGTGAGGAATAAGGTGAGGAGTGGGTTTTCTCACTGCCAGTCAAGCAGACTCACAAGACTGATCAGGATCTGATGGCTAAGGGTGTCTTGGCCACAGTGAGAGGAATATAGTTACCAGGTGGAACGATACGTGGTTGAAATGATGTAGTCCAAGTCCAAACGGTCAAAGAGGATTTATTAACAATCTTACAATATTTATACTAACGCTATTTACACACACATACAAGTACATTACTTAAATCTATAATAGTGTACGCCCGTGTAATGTGCAACGATTGCACTATGATGTAGGCCAAATTTGTTGCTGATCAGAGATCAATGTTCGTCTGAACAAATTTGACAGAATTTTGCTATTAGTGGACAAATTTCTGCTCACGATGGACTAATTATCTGCTATACTCTCGACTCTCTAAAGCTCAACATTTATAAAAATTTTGCTGCGGTAATGCACTCCTACTAATCCGGAGGTAGCGGGTTCGATTCCCGCACAGTACAAACATTTGTGTGCATGAACATATTTGTTTGTATTGGACTGGGTGTTTCCTATGTATAATAAGTATTTATTTACAAAAAAAAAGTATTTAAGTATGTTTATATCCGTTGTCTAGTACCCATAGTACAAGCTTTGCTTAGTTTGGGGCTAGAAGCGCAGTGTAAAATGTCCGAGGATATTTATTTATTTATTTATATGCCAAAACATACTGACCACAATGCACCGCCAACCGCCACCTATCAAATTGCCTATCACTAGAAACAGTGAAAGTAATCTTAAAAATATCAAAACTTTAATATCTAATCTATAACTATAAACTAACAAACCTCTAAAAAACACCCGTTATCTGTAGGTATACTTCCTTCTTTTGGCTAACAATATCTTAACACCTAAGCTTAAAAAAATTGTTTAAAACCTAAAAACACACTTCTGATTACTCCACTAAAAGGCCATAAAGTGCTCGAGAAGACAAATCCAATGAACCCAAACTTGATGCGATTCCGCCGTTTCGTTTAGGGGTTCCTATGGCCACCTTCCAGTCCCATCATCAGATTAGTTCGAAGGTACCATAATGTTTTGTCATCTAATCTAC